TAATAGAAGGCACTGCCTGGAGGTAATCTTGCCGCTACACAATTTATGAGAGTGTTGTTGTGGACTGTATTTTCTGGGATTACTGGTGTAAGAAAATAATAGCTGACTATTATTTCGTGCGGTGACGAAATCGAACGAAGCTTATCATTCCTTGAAAACTGTTATGATTTGTCAGCAAGAGTGAGAATCGTGCGAAAAAGGCGAGGACTGGAACTCGTGTGAAGTTGGCACCAGGGTTCGGAAAACTACATGTTACTTTTAAAAACTACATAAACTACATTACATGTAGTTAATGTAGTTTATGTAGAGGGTGTAGTTTATGTAACTTATGTATGTAACTTTCAAATATCAAAGGTTTGAGGTGAGGTTTTAATAAGTTGAAGCTTTAAAAACACATAATGTATTTAAGAAAACACAAGAAATATGGCTTTAAATGTAATATTTACATCATATTACCTCTATTACACCTCATACAAAGGAAAATTATTCATAATATCAATACTGTAATCGGGAGATTAATATATTTAACAGCAATTGATATTTTTAAAATATAATTCTCACTAGCTTGACAAACAATGTCTTCTCTGGGCCGAAATCAACAATCTCTGACATTCAATTAATTCTGTGAAAAAAATTATTAAACTCAAATCTGTCTCCAGATTAATTCTGAGTGTTAGAATTAGTTACTTTATTATTACTTTGACATTAGTAATACAAAATTATCGAAAAATTAGGCGTTTCAAATATGTTTCCCGCCTTTTCCCGAAATTATTTCCATAGTGTCAAGTAGATACATGCCTTGACCTATTATAAGACAAATATTAGTGTGCAGTTTTTGCTACTCCCTTTTTAATTAAGATCTGAAGTAACTGAGCTATTGCAAAATAAGGCTTAAAAATTCCGTTCCTTTCAGGTACATCATATCGATGTTCATTGGATAGAATGGGTATTTTTGAGATATGGTTGACAAAGGCTGGGTCTGTTTCAACAAAATCAAAACAAATATTTGGTAATTTATTAGAACAGTTACCTGACGCTGAAAATTTGAATTGTGCTAATTTGGAAAAGAAAATTTTTTATTTGTGCAAAAAAATAGCAGAAAATTGGGCAAAAGCCAGGCGCAACAAAGATTTTTTTCTAAAAACAAATTCTGATTGGTTAATAAAGACCGATGATATCTTCGTTAACATACAGGTGTCCAAATTAACCCAAGTCAACAAACCATCTACTCGTACATGCGGAAGACCAAAGAAAAATTTTGATGAGTGTTGTCGACGGTCACAACAGAGAAAACTGTCGCAAATTTCTGTCATCGATAACTCCTTGGTAACTATGTTACGAAGGCCTTCATCTAACGTTAATTACAAGAAAGTTGATGCCGATGAAGTCTTATCTCTTCTAGTTGAAGCTAAACTGACTAAACACCAGTATATATTGTTAAGAAATTTTATTAATTCTAAAATAAATAATATGTTTCCTTCGTATCAAAAAGTTTGAAAAAAGTCCAAGAAAAAGTGCTACCCCAGTAAAGATTACATTAAAATTACCGAATCATCTGCTGAGATAGAGTTACAAAACTTACTCGATCATACAGCAAGCAGAATATGGTCATCACAACAAGAGGTGATAAACTCTACTTCAGACAATCAAGACCAAAATTTGGTTTTGTTTGGAAAATGGGGATTTGACGGTAGTAGTGATGGTCACTCAGAATACAAGCAATCTTTTCAAGATCCAACATTCCAAGGCGGAAGTTTATTTGTGACTTCATATGTACCACTTCGTCTTGTTTTTGAAGATAACCCTGAAAAAATAGTGTGGAAAACCCCCCGAACATCCTCTACACGTTATTGTAGACCGCTTAGATTCTAATTTAAAAAAGAAACTAAAGAAGCAGCTCTTAACGAAGAAAAATACTTTACAGAAAAAAATAATTCCCTGAAGCCCACAGTAGTTTCATTTAATGACAAGAACTATTCCATAAAGCACAAACTGCAGCTTACTATGGTGGACGGGAAGATTTGTAGCAGTTTAACTGAATCGTCTTCAGCCAGATGTTATTTATGTGGTTCAAGTCCCAAAGAAATGAACGATATTGATTTGTGCCTTCAAAAACAAGTTCGCCCAGAAACATTTGAATTTGGCTTGTCCCCTTTACATTCATATATACGATTCTTTGAATATTTTTTACATCTTTCATATAGATTAAATTTAAAAAAAATGGCAAATACGGTCTAAAGAAGAAAAGCAACATTTTTCTGAAAGGAAAGGCCAGATTCAATCTGAGTTTAGAAATAAATTGGGATTGATAGTGGATAAGCCAAAATGTGGAGAAAGCGGTACTTCCAATGGCGGAAATACCGCAAGAAAATTCTTTAAATAATTAGATGAATCGTCTGAAATTACAGGTTTAAGCAAGAGTCTTCTAGAAAGATGTTCTGTAATTTTAAGATGCATTTCATCAGAATTCAAAATTAATATTATAAAGTTTAAAGAATTTTCTTTAAGTACGGCTCGGTTACTGGTGGCTGAATATCCCTGGTATAATCTTCCCCCATCAGTCCACAAGGTACTTATACATGGTCCTGATATAACAGAAAGCGCCATATTACCCATTGGAGAATTATCAGAAGAAGCTGCTGAGGCCAAAAATAAAGAGTATAAATTATTTCGACTAAATCATAATCGAAAAATGTCTCGTACAAAGTGTAATATGGATCTTTTAAATAGACTCTTACTTAGTTCAGATCTCTTAGTAACAGAATTAAGGAAATTGCCGCCATAAAATAAAAATAGCTTTCCTAAGGCAGTACTAGATTTGTTAGATGAATAGTATATAAAATTTTGTTGTTTGTTGTTATTTAAGTATTAATATTTCCTCTTTAAATTTGATAGTTGAATAACCATATCCATACTAAAATTTAAAAAAATCCATGATGTAATTCGATTTCTCTTATTTTCGATTTTATTGTTGTCATTTTAGTATTTGTTAAAATTGTTATAAATAACCAAAGCATATAATTACAATATACCTAATATAAATAAAATGAATTTTAGTATAGTTTTTTTTATTAAACAGTAGAAAGGAATATTAAAAAAATTATCAATTCTAAACTCTATTATCTAATTTCATTCTAACGGGCTAGTAGGACATCTGTTAATTAATTTTATAGTATTTTTTTACAAATTTGTGCATATAATTGAAATAATTGATTTTTGTCACCGCTTAACATATACATGGAACCACTGTGAAATGGTGGCACCGAATATTTTTCTTCTTTATCGACTCAGCGCTTGAAATGCATTCATTATAAATAAATTTTTAGGAAAATCTCCTCAATTGACAATAAACAAATTTCGAATGCAAGTGTCAGAGGGTCTGGTATCAAATAATTTAGTTAATCATTTGTCATTGCCTACGGAATTATCTTTACCTTTGAAAAAACACAAACCATCCGTTTCAAAATCAATAAGATTGACATCAAGTGCTCATCAACCAATGCGTACTACTCGCAGGAGATGCACTGTCTGTAGTACCAAAAATAATGTCAGGACCAACTGGCAATGCAGTGTTTGCAACGTACCTCTTTGTTTGGGGGCTTCAAAAACTTGTTTTCAGAATTACCATAATTAGTATTTTTTAATGTTCAGGTACTGTGGTGTACATATTAAACCACCATATTTTGTTTATAACAATAGGTCTAATTGTTTGAAATTTATCTTTGTGTTTGTTTTTAAGCATCTTTTGTTAGAAAAATGTACAAAATATTGATTTTTGGAGTACAATTTTTCTTCGTGCTGCTAGTGTTGTTTTTATGGCAATTTTCCGTACCCGAAAGAGTTAAATCTGATAGTACTTTTTTTGATTTTGGTATAGAAAATATTGTAATGTGATTTTTACCGCATGTGTATTGTTTAACGATTATAGACTAGATATTTGTTTGGCAAGTATATTAAATCAAACATCTTTTACAACATATTTTTTCAAAAATATATTGTATAAGATGTTTATTTAACTTTACTTGAAACAAATTATCTGGTATAAAATCATCCTAGTTTAAATATTGTATGATCGAAGAATACGGCTTCAAGTTAACTTAGAAATGACTGTTGATGACATTAACCATATAACTTTACAAAGAAAATGTTATCGATCGTTATTTTTAAGTTAACTTGGAATCGTTATTTTTCGAACATACGGTATATTAAATTAATTAGGTGTAATATAATACTATAGATGGCGCTGCCAAAATTGCTTTGAATGCAATGCAGATTTCTTTTTAAAATTTAATTGCAGATTTCTTTTTTTAAATTTAATTTGTAGTTCTCATAGATGGCGTACCAAAATGTTTTGTTCGTACCAAGAAGATTTCGTTCTGTTTCAATCTGTTTTGTGCTCCATAACCCGAACAAAGCTTATGTCAACAATGATTGTCAAGGTGTGTGTGGCGACATCTGTCGGAGAAGTATTTTTCTAGATGTGCGCGTGTATTGCTGGTTGAGGTTTCATCTTTAATACAGGAAATTGTTTGAAGCACCATCTCTTAAACACAAGTGGAAATAGCTTAGATCTTGTAAATATTTACTGGAACCAAATTAGTGGACCCACGGAATCCGTAACCGTATTTTATTTTACAGTTGTGACACCAAGTAAAGGTTTCAAAACTCTGAATCAAAAAGTCAAACTGTATTTTTTTATGTATCTAATACAATGATCTAATAACATTATATTAGAAGACAAAGTAAAAAAAAAGTAAAGACCGACAAAGAAATAAGTTGTTTCTGCGGATTCTCGATCGAGCCACTTTTTATAAACAGAATTTTGAGAAATTTGTAGAAACAAAATAATCATCTCATCAAAATTGTTTGTTAAAACTATATTTACATTCGTTTGAAGTGTACTTAGAATTACAAGAAAAACATTAGGTATCTTTAATACGTTAGGTACTTAAGTCGAATATTTTTCTACAGTTTAATCTCTATACCACCGTATATAAAGAGTTCTCTATAAATAATATCATTCATAAAGTGTAATCAAAATGTTGAAAATATTCTGCGTTTTTGCTATTACAGTAACTACAGTTTTATCTTTTAAATTACCTGAACACTTTTTAGCTCTGGGCCAAGATTATGCATTTTCAGTGGTCAGGGTATGAGGGTATGTCTTAATAATTCTATTTTTTTTTAAATCCTATATTGCTTTTTAGTTAAATTTTCTTCAAGCTTATGCGGCTTGTAAAAGATATGGCTGGACGTTGGCAACTGAGAAAAATGAACTTCAAACCAATACTCTAGCTGAAGAAATTAAAGCAAATAAAATTCAGAGTGTCGGTGAGTTGTTTGGAAATTTAAGTTTAGGAATCAGTAGAATGTTTTTGAGAATATTGGCGCACCTCATTCGCCTCGGTTAATTATACGAAAACGGAAAGATGTAGAAACAAAATATTTTATGGGTATATGTGGGAAGGCAATGTGCATAATTTAAAATTATTTTGAAATGTACAGGGTGTGTCAGAACTAAGAACCATACCAAAGTTATATTTTTTCTTATGAAACAGCCGGTATTTTATTTCATTTTTGGATTTTTGGACATAAAATAAGGCATGTATTATAAGGGTTTAATATGTTTAAAAGCTTTGGTTTTTGAGATATTTAAAGATATTTAAATATGCATGCTATAATAAAAAAGTTTGTCAACACCCTGTACATTACTTTACAGAATTAATTCTTGTGCTGACTTTCAAGCTAGAGAAATAAACTTTCCTAAAAATATTGATTGCTTCCTTAAAGGTATCCAGGGGCATCAAAAATTGCTGGTCTATTTTAATTGTTTATTTTACATATAAAAACTTTATTTTTTCAAATGCAACATTATGTATTTTTTTAAATAAGTCGAAGCAGATTTAAATGCTCTTTCAAACTATATTAGGGTTTCCTATACCTATCTGGCTCAGATTTTGAATAAAAAACGATTTTTCAATAAAATTGTAATCAAGATGGCTGGTGGCGTCATGGCAATTTTCTAGTGACAATTAGTAGCTATTTTCAAAACCGACATTAGTTTATGGACTTTATTTAAATTTATAACAGGTTATTTTTTATTTAATTTACCTACAAACAATAAGGTTAATAAGTAAGTATTTATTATTTTATCAAGAAAAATGAAGCAGTATATGCTAGCGGAAGGAATGGATATGTTACTAGTGATTTTATTTTGTGAAGACAATTGCTTGTTGGCCATAAAGGTTTATGCTCAAAGATATCCAAATAGGAATTTTCTTAACAAGCGTTCCTTTGAACAACTACTTTTCCTATTTCGCAGAGCTGATAGTGTGGTATATGAACAAACCAAGAACAAACTATTAGGCAGAAACATATCGTTGGAAGTGAAGAAAATGAATTTGCCTTAATTGGTTCTTTTATAGAAAATTCAGTATATCTACAAGTCATCGTAATATAAATCTACTTTATTTTTCTTAATAAAATAATAAATACTTGCTTATTAAACAATTATTGTAGGTAAATTAATTATTATTTAAATTATTATTGTTATTAATTAAAAGTAAACTATTATAAATTCAAATAAAGTCCATAAACTAATGTCAATTTTGAAAATAGCTACTAACTGTCACTAGCAAATCGCCATGGCGACACCAGCCATCTTGATTGCCGTTTAATTGAAAAATTGCTTTTTATTCAAAATCTGAGCCAGATAGGTATAGGAAACCCTAATATAGTTTGAAAGAAATCTGCATCGACTTGTTTTAAAAAATACATATAGTCCGTCGGAAAGCCCGCTCTAGGATGCACAAAAAAAACGAGGTATAACCAAATGGGACTTTCAGAATTTGAAAAAGCATGTATTCTTACATATAAAATGGAAATTGACGACTCTCTCCATTGGTCGAAACCAAAAATATAGGCAAAAAACTGGAAAAATGGAATTTTTTAATTTTTAGTTTGAAAAAATCATAACTTTTTTTGTAATGAAGCTAAAACAAAATTTTTTTTTAGTTTTATTCCATATTTAACTTCCTTTCCTCTGGTATATACTTTGTTTAAGAAAAATTTTAAAATATATTAGAAAAACAGTAATATTTAAAAAAAAACATCAAAGTGCTAAAAAAATGTTTAACTCACCTCGCCATAACTCCTTTATGCAAAGAGCTATTTAAATGTTTTTTTTTCAAAAACTGCGCAATTTAATGGGCTTCATTTTGTCTCGATTAACATGTGGTCTATTATTAAAAATAAAGACTGTAGCGGCTCTTAAACGTTATGATGTCTCTGCGGCGGGGTACAGCGCCCGCGCGGCGGCGTAATTTTTCCATCGCGATCCACTTATTTTACATTTTCTAGCCGCGGCACGGTTTTAAATACAAGTTTTTCATTAGTTATTTGCACCATGTTAGGGTAAATAATTATTATAAATTCTTATTTTTTCCAAAAAATGCTTATACTCATATTCTGTACAAAGAAAAGTTTAATTATGGTATAAACATGGTAAAACAATGATGAATTTTGACAATATGATGATGAATTTTGACAATAAAGGCATTTATTTATTTATAAAAAAAATTAAGAAACAAAAATATTAAAAGGGATCATCTAAAAATGCATCGTCATCAGGATCATCAGCCTCAATTTGATTTTGTGCAACTTCTCGACTAACATTATTGCAATTTATTTTGCATTTGCAATGTGTGCTACAAAATACTCCTTCTTTTTTACATTGACATTTTTGGGTGTTGCAACTTTTGTCATTGCATAATAAAGAAATAATTTGCCGTATATCTTCTGGAACTGGAGCTTGATTCATCATTTTTGGAACTATAAAATTGTCCCCATTTAAAGTCCATCCATACAACAAGGGATCTTTTTTGGCTGCTTCTCCAAGATGACTATTGACCCATATAAATGTTTGATAATATGACCTAAAATTACATTTTTTATTCGTACAAAGCAATATATTTTAATTTTATTTTACCTAAGGACATGTAGTTTGAAACTATCTTCTGTAGGGGGCAATTCTTGAGCTGGTTTTTTGCTCTGATTTGTAAGGTTTAACCAAATTTCGTTTAAATCGTTTGCATTTTTGTTTTTATACAAAAAACTTACAAATTTTCTAGCAAATTGTATTCCTTTTTCTGGACCCATTTTAGCAAACATATTTTTATAGTAAATTTCCCAAGCCTGTTTTCCCCCTATTTTAAATAGTGAACTTGTCGTATCACATCCTGTGAGGCTGTGAAAACTTGGTAATCCTTCACATGCCAATTTACCAATGTTTTTCGAAATGACGTGAATAGGAATAAATCGTTTTTTGTTAGTTGTCATATTTGTATGACCAGTTTCCATGAATATTTCACTATTACTAAAATTTTCATGAGTAGCATAATAATAAATTAAAAGTACTAAAACGTCAGTATCATCGACGACTAGTCTACCATTTTTATTAGAAGATACCATATGGAAAATAATCCTTGTATCAGCTTCTTCATGGTTGCTGTACAAATTTTTCTGCTCTGCAACTTCATGGTTTAAAATCTAAAAAAACACAAATTTTTAAAAATCTACTCGTATTATGTACCAACCGCATTACACCAACTTACTTTAAAACATTTACCGGCATCTTCAAAACCGCCTGCCATTACATTTCTTTGTCTTCTGGGACCAAATGACATGCTTCACATATTTTATTAGAAACGAACTTAATTAACGCCATTTTATTTGCTGTTGACCTCAAGAAATTCTTATAATTAGAAACTGTTCTGGATCCTATAATACAATAAGTCCCCAAATTGTGCTGTCCTCTTCTTTGCCTTTCAAATACTTTAACTGAATTTTTGTCGTCATATCTATCGAATATAATCGATATTCTACGGCAGTTATTGTGCTTTTTAAATATGCTTAAGATCTTATTTGTTACAACCTGAGCTAATTCGTCAAATGTTTTAAATGATTTTTGATTAATTTCTTGTAAAACTACCATTCCATCTATAAAATATTCGATAATTTCTTGCGGCGGATCAGTTATTAAATCACTAAATGATTCTAATTTTTTTGCCAATTCACTTTTTGCAGTTTTCCTCATTGAGCCGTCCTCATGAAATAACGAAGCAGGAGTAGGAGCTAATTCGAATGATAACATATTTTTGAAATCAAGTTCTTTAAATTGAGCAGCACTTATAATTCTTCTAAACATATACTCTGGATTTATAACAGTTTTTGACTCTGTTTTCTTGTAACCAATGTTATCGGCATTAATAATTGGATTACGCGACACGGCTTTCCAGAAACTTGCTTGCCCGTGAGTTGTAAGCCGTCCTTGGATAAACGCTTGATTGTTTATCTCTGCTTTTTCTTTAAATGTAGTTAAGGATGCGTGAATCTCCCGTGAAGCAATCTTTCCTGTGGCAATATGAATTAGGTCATTAGATGTAATGCTGCTGTCAAAGGGATTTATCCAGGTACTTTCAATTATTGAAATCATTTTCCTAACATCCTTTTCATCCCGTTCACGTTCTGCTGCCCCGTAACTGTACAATTTATTTTTTGGGAAAATAAGGTTTTCTACTTTGCTGGCATATTCTCCAACTAAATGTCTTGTAATTAGCCACCTCGTCAAGGTTCCTTCATTGTTTGTGAAACCAATTACACCACCTGAACTTTTGCAGTCTTTATTTACTGTTTGCTCAAGTGCCATATCTGAACCAACGCAATTAAATTTTTTGTTGTCTGTTCTTCGCACAACAAATTGCCTTCTTCTAATCCAGAAATTTATCAGTTAAATTTCTGGATTATTATGCTTTAAACGAGCCATGTCTAATAAGTAAACTGGAACAAATTTGGCATAGTTACTACAGCCTCCCGCTTTAAGATATGGTAATGATTCTTTTATTGCGGTTAGATGTAACCTAAAGTCAGCATTTCGTTCTGCTCTTATAAATTTTAATAAAATATCTGCAGCTTCCAAAAACTCTATCCAAAATTTAAAAGTTGGCGATTTTTTACATCTCTGGTCAATAAATGCAACTGTAAGTTCTTCTAAAGCATCTTTCGTAGAATCTAAGATATCATGAAATATCTCTTCATTAAAAGGTTGATGGTTAATCATAGTATCTTCTAAGACATGCAATTTTCTTAAAATCTCTTTATTAAATATTGTTGTATCTCGCTCTTCTTCGGCCCAAGAAATTAGTTGTCTATAAAAGAGTCGACTTAAAGCATCTGATACTAATATTAAGGCTCTTATTGCTCGGGAATAATGTTTGCCTTGAAACATTTGACGACAAGAGGCTTAAGCGTAAACTCCAGACTCAATTAATATG